TGTGTTGTCTTGCTATCAGGGACGGTCCGGGGGGGGGGGTATTTCCCTAAACTTACCGACGAAAATTTTTTCCCCTAAAATCCTGGCGAGCGCGGGGGGGGGGGTGTTTTTTAGAACCATGTAGTGACAACTGCGTCTTAAAAATTTCGCGAGTGCGAACAGGTCGTTCATAATTTTACCGAACATTTTAGTCGGTATATGTCCATTTACCGACGATTGTATCAATTTACCGACCATTACGTCCCTGCTTGTTATGTTGCGTTTTTGGCTGCCGCCAGTTATATGATTTATTTGACTTCATTGATGAGATTTTTAAACTGTTTATTCTTTCTTGTAGGTGTGGCGTTGTTGAGTGGTTCTCCTGAAGAAGACGCCAAGACGAGAAAACAGAAGAAAGCAACAAATGTATGTAGTTTTAGCATCGCTTTACACGATCCCGGGCTTGGCATCATTTACAGGGCTGCAAATAAATATTTGACGTGACAGGACATTTGTCCGATCACTTTTAATTTTGGTCGGACAAAAACCAACATCACTAAATTTGGTCGGACATATACGTGACAAGATATATATACACGAGACAAGTTTGTATAGGCATTCCGACGCAACGTTAAGTAAAATGCTAGAATGCCTTATTGCAAAATGCAAATTGAGTGAATTTGCAATCGGATTTTGTCAAAGCAAAAAAATGTATAATGTGACAATTTTTTTTGTGATCGGACCAATATCCGATCAAAATTACTTTTGCTCGGACATTTGCCAAATTTAGTCGAACATTGTCCGATGTCCAACAGTAATTTGCAGCCCCGCATCAAGCTGAGCTTAGAAGAATGAGGTCCGTGTATATCTGGAGTAAGAACTCGCGTCCGTAGGATAGCAGAAATTGACATCCAGTGCCATTTTGTCCGCGTGGTTAACATGAAGTTGCACGGAGTGCCGACTGCCGAAATTTCTTGTTTTGACTTCCGTTAGAAAAACCTGGAATTAGCTGGAAAAATTGCATGAAAACTGTTTACGACCTTCATAGATTTTGGACGTTAAATTCCGTCGTCTTCACTTCATTTTTCTCATAAGTCAAATCACACAAGTTCTTACTCCAGATACATATACAGTTCATTTCATGATAGTCGCTGTGTGGCTCATACCTCAACGAAATAGATTAGTTTTATGATATACAGGGTGTGTAAAAAAAAGACTGAACAGATATGAAATTGCTCTCAATTTCGCAAAACAGCTATTATTATCCAGTTTTATATATTTATATATATATATATATATATATATATATATATATATATATATATATATATATATATATATATATATATATATATATATATATATATATATATATATATATATATATATATATATATATATATATATATATATATAGTGAAACTTTGTTGGGTTTTTAATTACTGTACAAAATTTCAGACAATTTGCTTCAGTTTAAGACCTTGAACTATTCATTTTTTCCTAAAAAATCAGCCTTTCGCATGCTTAATTAATGCGTTTACCTAATTTGCATATTGCTGAAATAAGCAAATTAGCCAAACGCTTTAAAAATGTAAGTTTGCGTGAATCTTTAACTATTCACGCAAACTTACATTTTTAAACTGAAGTAAACAGGCTTAAACTAAACAGGCTTAAACTGAAGCAAATTTTCTGAAATTTCGTGCAGCAATTAAACACCCAACACATTTTTCACCCATTAACTCACAATACGATTAAAGCTTTTAAATCTCGTGCGCAAGCATTTTTAGTTTGTCGGAACCCCCATCCCCCCCCAGTTTACAAAGTTTGTGTTCGAGAAATTTTTTTCATTATTCTACATTATAAGTACCAAAAGAACATCCATTAACTCAAATTACGATTACAGCTTTTAAATTTCGTGCGCAAGCCATTTTTAATTTGTTGGAAAAAAGTTACCCCCCCCCCCTGGTTTACAAAATTTGAGTTTGAAAATTTTTTTCTATTATTCTACATTATAAGTACCCAAAGAAACTATATATATATATATCAAAAACTGGATACTAATAGCTGTTTTGCGAAATTGAGAGCAATTTCAAATCTGTTCAGTTTTTTTTATACACCCTGTAGATTCAGTCCTCGGAATTCAACAGCCCTGAAAGTAACGGCGACAGTCCGCTTTCATCGACCAGTACGGTGGTTTTATGTGTTGTGTTCCTGGTTGTTTTACCAACGATAAAAGAAATCCTGATCTATATTCTGTTGTATATAAATGATATTCTGTGCTTTTATTGTTAGTCGCTAATTCGTTGGTGTTGGGCAGCTGGTTCATGTAGGTTTTACCTCCTCCTAGAAAATGAAAACAACACAATCTATGGCCTCTGTTTGGAGAGAAATCTTTACGGGCAATTGAACTTATCCCTTTTTTCGATTCCACAATTTTACCATGTGGAAAATTATGAAACGAAAGCTCGGGATTCCTGTTATTGCTGGTAGGACAACCAGTAACATAGCACGTAAAACCACAATTTCTTTACTCGTACTGGTCGATGGAAGCGGACTGTTGCCGTTACTTCGGGGCTGTCAGACCTCTGAGACCCATGTAAGAATTCTCAAGTGGTATATATGAATTTTCTTATTTGTTGTGTGTTTCAGGATGAAATGAACAATGAAATGACAGTTGTACCAAGAAAGAAGCCAGCCGGTAATTCTGCTGCACAACATCCACCAGCACACCCCGGGAAATCTAAAGCTGCTAAAATGCGTGCTGTGGCACGTGGTGAAAATACCGCAAGCAGTGGCAAGTCTGAGCAAGAGGTAATGTTAAAGATATTGAATATCTAGAGTCCAGTCAACGTATGTGCGAACTTACAACTATTGGCCCTCGAGTTTTGTTTAATTATGCATTGTTCATTTCTTGCTAGACTATGTGGATTGTCGAATATCAGGGAATTATTGTCCTTTTGAGTGAAAGGCCACCGTCTTTTTTTAAAATAGACCAATAAACTTGAATGTTGAAGGGTTTATTTGCCACTACCACGCCGTGTTTCTTCACCCCTACCACCAGGGGTGGAAAAAATATTTTACTTTTTGGGACCGCCAAAGGGCAATAAAAATTTTCTGTGATAAATCAAGTAAATCAATACTTGGACACTGTGACTGTATAATACTAACAAGTTGTCAAACTGAATGTCATGCTATATTTTCGCAGAAAATGAGCCTTAGGAATATGACAGAACTAATTCAGATAACATCCGGAGTCTGATCCTGAGGTAAATTTACAGATGCAAAAAGGGGGGGGGGGGGATCTTGGGGCATGCTCCGCCAGAAAATTTTGAAAGCCCGGTGTCTCAGATTCGCTAAAAATGCATTTGGCATACAACATTTGTTACATCATTCTATAATCTATACATTTATACACTATCCTACTATCGTACTATTAAGATGGACTTGCATTTTATTTATTTATTTATTTTTTTTGCAATCTTTGTCAAATAAATGACAGGTTATACCCGCAGAGCAGAACACTCCTTTACGGGTAACTTTAACTGTTTATACAGAATACATATAAGTGATTGTACTGGGATTGCCAGTAAATGAGGCGAAAAACAGGTTTCAACTCACTTTAATTATAAAAATATGGAAAATTACAAAATAATAGATTTAGGTAAAACACTGTTTTCCTTCGCACGCCATATTAGCTCCTATGCGCATGCTCTAACAAAACGTAAATAAACATCGTCCAAAAGGCGATCGCAGAGATTATTGTCTACAACTTTACTACAACCCAATACACCGGAAGAACTGGGGTCGATGCGATCGCGTCTTAAAATCTGAATGTGAATTTCTCTAATGCATTGTTCACTCAATACTATATAATGTCACTGTCCGTTCATACACTCTCTTTTGCTTCCGACTTGGTTTCCTGGTCTTGATCCATATCTACTGGTACTAATAACGATAATCGCTGAGCACTTCGTGACACAATGACAGCCTCGTTATGTCCTTTGTATTTTTGTACCTTTTCTCCAATTTGAAAATTCTTGTACATGACATTTACTCGACGAACTTTTCCGTCTTGACTGGGAAAGACTTCTTGTACTATACCTAAACGGTAATCTCCTCGCAAGGTATTACGGTCGGCGATTATTACAACATCTCCTGGGCGCAGGTTACGGTTGGCTGTATTCCACTTGCGACGAATAACCAAGGCTGGGGCGTATAACTCCGTCCATTTCTTCCAGAACTCGTCTGTCACGATCTGGACAACATGATAACGCTTTCCTGGATAATTACCGTTAGGCTGCCATCCACCAAGATTCTTCGCCGTTGCTCTGCCCAGTAACAAGCTGTTGGGAGTAAGGATGTTTAATTCGGAATCAGCGCCCGGGAGGGTTCCGATAGGTCTTTCATTGAGGAGGTTCGTGGCTTCGCTACACACCGTCATGAACTCTTGGACTGAAAGACGTTGGTTATTGATTGCGAAATGAATAGCTCTCTTGGCACTCTTCACCAGGGATTCTACAGCTCCTTGGTACCAAGGACTATCAGCGGGGCCGAAGATCCAGGTCAATCCATTCTCTGTGCCACTTTTATGTAGGGATTGTCGGTCAATGCTCTTCCAGGTTTCCGTGAGTTCTCTTTCCGCACCAATTTGTTGTGATCCGGGATCACTATATATGATTTCGGGCCAACCACGAACGCTGACGAATCTGCTGAGGGCCATTAGGAATGATTCGGGATTGTACCCGAACACAGCTTCAATGTGGACTGCTCTCATAACTAGATCTGTGAAGATTACTCCGTACGCTTTACCACTTGTTCTTTTCTGTACTTCTCCACGAACCGAGTAGGGTCCGAAAAGGTCTATCATAACGTGGTTGAAAGCTGGAGATGGTTTCAATCTTGCTTCCGGTAGTTGTCCCATTTGCTGTTCGAGGAACTTTGCTTCTCGTAGCTTGCACATCTGACATTTACTCTTGATTGATTGATTGATTGAGCGAGTTTGCTTCCTTGGGTTACCCAGTAGAGTTGACGGAATCGTGCTAAGGTTGCATCACGCCCTCTATGACCAGAAGTGTGAGCTCGTTGCATGAAGAGTCTGGTAACATGATGTCGGTAGGGCAATAGCTTTTGCAGCGAAGAATCCACTGTCATGGGATTTTTGTTCTTCAGGCGCTGTCCCACTACCCAGAGTCCACTTTCATCTTGGACTGGATTGAAACAAGCGAAACGACCACCTTTTCTGCCTTTGCGGTCAGTTTTTGTCAGTTCACTTTCAAATGATTTCTGAACTTCTTTAACAATAAAGTTCTCGGCTTCTTGTAATTGCTTAACCGAGATGGACAGAGTCCTTCCGCCTTTAAAACTTTTCTTCGCAATGTTTAGCAATCTCGCGACGACCCAAATAGCTTTGTTGATACTGCTGAATCTTTCATAGTCGATCAACAATGCCTCTACGCTCGCTGCTGCTGCTACAACATGGACTTTCTTTTCACCGGGGAGTGGTTCTTTCTTTGGGTTAAACTTTAATCCCCATTCTTCTATCGGTCGGTATAGAATCGGCGGTCCATTCCACCAATGAGAATCGTTGTTCAGCTCCTCTGGTGCTCTGCCGTGTGTCAACCAGTCAGCTGTATTATGTTGGCCAGACATCCAAGCCCAGCAAGTCAGATCTCCTTCAGTTGCTGCTTGGATTTCTCCGATTCGTACTCCCTCGTAAACTTTGAAACGTGTGCTTGTCTTGTGGATCATACTCAAGACTGTTTCTGAGTCCACGATTTGTAAAACTCTCTCGAAGTCGAACCTCATTTCTTTCTCGATGACCTTTCTTCCTCTTTTCGACAGAACAGCTGCGTTTAACTCCATCTGAGGGGTAGATAACTTATTGATTGGAGCAATACGACACTTCGCCATGATCAACCTACACCAGTAGCTTCCATCATCCAATTTCCATCGAATGTAAGCTGCGAAGCCATACGCGAGATCACTACCATCGCTCAAGATTATTAACCAAGGGCGTCCATTGCTATTCACAGGTCGTAAGCATCGCTCCAAACACAAACGCCGAAGTTTGAAAAGAGCAGTGAAGAAATTGGACCATTTGTTGCAAAGTTCTGCTGGAAGTGGGTCATCCCATCCGAGCTTGCGGGACCAGGTTTCGCGTAAGTATATCGTGGCCATCAATGTAAATGGAGAAATTACTCCGAGTGGGTCATAAATCTTCATTACTTGCTCAAGAACGATTCGTCTGGTTAACACATTCGGTAATGCACTTGGTAGGTCGCTTTCTAGCAGGTTTGGACCGGTTCGAACTCCGCGTCTCTTGCTACTGAAGTTCAAAGTTACTTCATAGGTGATGGTGTCTTGCTTTGGATTCCATCCCAGACCGAGCACTCGTAAGTTTTCGTCAGTTCCTTTTAACATTATTAGTCCTTGGTCTGAGCTTTCAACACTCTTTTCTGGCAGGTCCAATTTTAACAACTCTTCTTTTACGCGAGGTTGTGTTTCGCCACTAAATTGCCAGCACTTTACAGCAAATCCTCCTTTGGCAAGGATATCCTCGGCTTCCTTGGCAATCTTTAACGCGTCGGGTTTACTTGGACGTGAGTCAATCAAATCATCCACGTAACTGGAATGTTTTAGGAGATTTGCGGCTTGTGGACTAACCTCTCGATACAACTCCGCGGTCTTGTAGAACGCTTCTGTGCTGATGGCGGGGGCTGGTGTATCACCCATATTGACTCGTTGTATTACGTAAATGTCCGGTGGGCGATGCTGCTGTAAATCTCGCCATAGGAAACGGTGGCAATGCTGTTCCAAGGCCTTCAAATAAACTGAGTTGAACATCTTTCGAATATCTCCGATTAGCGCTACTCTTTCTTCTCTCCAACGTAGAAGAATACCAACCAAGTTGTTCATGTAGCTGTCTGGACCTTTTGCGAGACAAGCATTTAATGAAACACCTTTGTGCGTTTGGCTGGAGTTGAACACAATTCTCACGGGCGTAGAATTGGAATGCGGGTTTACAACTGCTAAATGGGAGATATAGAACACCGGGCCAGTCCAGCTCTTTACTTCTTCGTATGCTAGTTTTCTTGCTACACAACGATCGACCATATCGTCCATTTGGCTCTTGTACGTCTTAGCCCATTGGTCATCTTTCTTAAGCGTTCTTTCAGTTCTTTCTAACGTAGCAAGTGCTGTGTGATAATTGTCGGGTAAACTTTGTGGATCTACGAGCCTGGGATAACTGGTTATCCAGCATTGGTTAACTTCGTCGTACTCGAGGTTTTCTTGAATCAGTTTTAATTCCTGTTCTTCCTTGAAAGAGTAAGTGTGTCCGACAGTAGGGCACTTATTACAGCGACATCCACCACATTGTGGAGAAATTTCTGTGGCAAGTTCTTCTCCTTGTATAAAATTGTCAATCTGGCTTTCGTCCTTTCGGTGACTATAGGAACTCGATACATTAACAGAACATTCTCTGGTATGATTGGGATGGAACTCTGGATGTGAGTCCAAGCGTGTCTTGTATGTCTCCACTTTCACGTTAACATCGTGTATTTTCTTTGCGAGATTGGTGTCATATCTTGTTTCTTCGATCAGATCTGGATGGGCGCCTTGGAGGCAAATCCCCAATGCTCCATTCATGATACTTAGATTGTCGCCACATCTAGCTTCTTCTTGCTTTGGATGGAGACCGAAGTAATCACAGCCCAGAAGGACATCCACGTGTGTTGACTTTCGCTGGAGTGTTTCAGGATCATATTCTGGAAATAACTTTACCAGGACTTTAGGATCCAGTTTGCTTACTTGTCCAGTAATTCGCTCCATGCCAAAGGCCGTAATAGTGACCTTCTTTCCAGCACTTGTGTTGATTGGAAACTCGTATTGCCACGTGTTGTACGTTTTCTCGACATTTCCCATAGTTGTCACTAGAGGTGTGCGTCGGATCGGATTGACCTCTCTCAATCCGATGGTTTGTCTAAGTTCTCAATCCGAATCCGATCCGAAGATGAAAAAAGTAATCCGATCCGATCCGAAACAATGTTTATAAAATCCGATCCGATCCGATGCTAAAATTCGTAATCCGATCCGATCCGAACTTAAGTTGTGTACGCTGTACAGCGTGCGTTAATTATTATGAACGTATTTTTTCATGATCATAAACGACATATTGGAAATAACGAATTTCTAGCAAAAATAAGCAGATACGAATCCGATAAAAATTGCAGGGCGATATCACATAATTATGCCTTATAGCGTTCACATTTACAGTACACAATAACAGCAGTTTATATTTTATTAGAATTAGCATAGAAAAAAAACCCAACTAGTCAAAAATGTTTTATTCAGTATAATAAATCATGAGCTTGAGCTAGGTTTACATTTTAAAACATCTTAAAGTTTATCACTAATAAACCTCATTGTCAGGCTTCATGATACATAAACCTAACAAACCAAACAAAAAAACACAACATTCCTAAATTTCCTATGTATCCAATTCCCGTACGTAACTGAGAAATATACGTCCAAAATCCAAATAACTCAAAACTCTTTTTAGAAATATAAAGTAGCAGAATTTTCTCGAAACGTTGTGCTGTTTTTGAATAGCCGAGGCCCGAGGGGAGATTGGGTGGCATAATGGCATTCGTTATTCGCGATTTCGCGAGCGAGCAAAACGTTACTTTGACTTTGTAGTTTGTAGTTTGTATGGACTATATGGATTATGGAATTACTTTTATGCTCAAAGCCATTTTGAATTCTGATGCCATTTGTAACGTAAAAAGTGGAATACAGCTGCAGAATATAGAACTTTCTCAATTTGTAAAAATATTCGAATAATTCGACGTGATACAAGAAAAATCAAATCCGAACCGATCCGACAAAAAACCTGCAAAATCCGATCCGATCCGACAGAAACAAAACGAAATCCGATCCGATCCGAGTAATTTACTGTCCGAATCCGATCCGAATCCGATCGGATCTGATCGGATCGGATTCGCACACCTCTAGTTGTCACGTCAAGAGAGAGTTTTTTAACTTTCTTTGCTTTGATTCTTTCCGCAGCACGATGAGTGATATAACTTGCGTTAGAGCATCCAGAAGACGGACACTTTTCTACCACTGTCGCTAATGGTCGCTTGGTGGATAGGGTATAATGCCATTGAATCACTTTCTACGGTATAGGATGCTAATTCCTTGTTCCCATCATCTCCAGTTTTCGATTTCTCCCCAGAATCTTTTGGGAGCTTTGGTGGGATGCACAGCAGGGAATGATGTTGGTCACTTCCACATGAGGAACATGGGAGTTTTTTGGGGCAGTTAAGTTTCCTATGATTACCAAAACATTTGAAACAAGCGTTTACCTGCTTCAACAACTCATATCTGCCATCTTTACCGCTGATGGACAACTTCTGGAATTCTTTGCACTGTTCGGTGGTGTGATTTATGGTGTCTTTTCTGTGGGTGGGGAAAGCACACTTGTAGTAGGTTCTTTGTCCGTGTTTTGCACCTCTTTCACATGATAGGTTTTGCTGTATCCTCTTGCATTGTCATTTCCTCTTTTCTTAGAATGCTGATTCTCTGCTAAACGAGCCACAACTGAACGTTCTCTGTCTAGGAACTTCATTAGCGGAGTAAATGGTTGAAGCTTCTCGGCAGACGATAAATCACGATACTTTCGTCTCCAGTCGACTTTAAGATGGGTAGGTAACAAATCAGTTAGGTTGTCTACATCTCGCATGGTTAAAGTGTTTAGCTGGTTGAGCTCTTCCAATTGACTGTAGGCAGATTCAACTTCATCCACTAATTCAACCAGAGCTTTATAATCTTCTTCTTTTACAGGTTTTAGCCTTTGAAGATCTTCCAAAGCAGCTTGTATACTAGCAGTAGTATCTCCATAGTGACACTCTAGCTTTTCCCACATGATGTCGTAAGCTTCGGGCTTGGTGACAAAAACAGATTTGATGCGGTGTTTGGCTTCTCCTTTAACTGAGTTCTTAAGTTCGTGTGCTAATGCAGTTTTATTATAACTTGCAGACTCAGCCATTGACTTCCAGACTGCCTTGAACTCTGGCCAGTCTTTCCTAAGTCCGGAGAATGTGGGTAGGGCCATCCTTTTTAGCCGAATGGTGGAATCTTCGTGGGAAGGTCTTGTATTAATCAACGGGACTGTGGGTTGATGTCCAGATGGGGTTGTATACATAGGACTGGTTGACAAATTGCTCCTGGACTGATTGTGGTTGCTATAATAGCTGGATGCCATTCTTGGCAGATTTGATCCTATTGGCATTGCAAATGGAGGGAAACCTGTTGATAAATTTGTAGGATTCTGACATTGCTGAGACAAATGCGTTTGTCCCGATGTGGAACTGCTTTCCGAATGAAAGGTGGTAGAGGGAATGAAGGTTTGAGCCGATGTATTCAAGCAAAAACCCGTACTGGTCCCAGGTAAGGTTGGTAGGGGGGTGTTGGCCTTTGTAATGTTGGTGGTAACTTGGGTGCCAAAGGGACTGGAGTAATTAATGGGGGGAGCGTTAATTGGCAACATAGGTGGAATTGTGTTGGTCTCGATAGCAGGGGTGTCAATAATTTCAGCGTGGGTTGCAGTGTAAATGGGCTCAGGGGGGATATTGGTGTTGATTACCGAGGGGGAAGTGGTGCTGATGGTCTCAGGGGGGGTGTTGGTTTCTGGGGGGGACATGGTGTTAATGGTATCCGTGTCCTCAGGGGGGGTGTTGGTGTTGATATCCGGGGGGGTGTTGGTGTTGATGGTCTCAGGGGGGTGTTGGTGTTGATTTCCGGGGGGAGACATGGTGTTGATGGTCTCAGTGTTCTCAGGGGTGTGTTGGTGTTGATTTCCGGGGGGAGACATGGTGTTGATGGTCTCAGTGTTCTCAGGGGGGTGTTGGTGTTGATTTCCTGGGGGAGACATGGTGTTGATGGTCTCAGTGTTCTCAGGGGGGTGTTGGTGTTGATTTCCTGGGGGAGACATGCTGTTGATGGTCTCAGTGTCCTCAGGGGGGATGTTGGTGTTGATCTCCGGGGGGGATACGGTGTTGATGTTCTCAGGGGGGGTGTTGGTTTCAGAGGGGAGAGTGGCAGTTTCAATGTGTAATGATTTAACAAATGCTTGTTGCTCATGCAAAAACAAGTTTATCTTTCTGATGCAATTGTAAACTGCTCTGATAATAGCATCGACATCTTCTTGGATTAGGTTAACTTGCTCTTGTGTTTCAATCGAGCCAAGTTTTGCCATGTTATCACATATTATGTTCAAAATTGACTGTAGATCATTTTTATCTAGTTGTAAAGCTGCCATATTCACATTTTCCAGTTTGAAACTCTCATCAACGACTGTGATTAGTTCATGAATTCTACAAATGTCATTCTTTAGGGCAACTTTGACAGGCCCAGCACTTTGTCGTCTAGCTTTTTGTTCGATTGTTGTCTTTACACTAACAAATACACTCCTAGCTTCTTCATAGCACCTTTTTACATTGTCTCTGTAAGTCATAATGTCTTCACCATCAACTACACGGTGTTCAGCGTATTTTTCGTCAGATACAATGAGTTCGTATTCCTCATTTATAACGCAAAAATCATCAAATACCTTTTCAAGTTCGAACATTGAATCCTTTAAAATATCATATTCACAATCTCTGTTGTAGGCTCCGATCAGACGCCTCGCAGCGACAGTGACCGCCATTTTAGCCTTGCTTCTTTCTTGTTTTTTATCTTCAACATTCATGGCTGATTCCTGGATTTGTCTTCAAGCAATACACAAGTTTTGGGCTGCAAAACTCCTTTGTATTTAGGCTTCTTCACAATTCTGGAATGCCACAGCGAACGTTAGTGTTTTACTGTACTGGGATTGCCAGTAAATGAGGCGAAAAACAGGTTTCAACTCACTTTAATTATAAAATATACGGAAAATTACAAAATAGTAATTAGTGGTAAAACACTGTTTTCCTTCGCACGCCATATTAGCTCTCATGCGCATGCTCTAACAAAACGTAAAAAACATCGTTCAAAAGGCGATCGCAGAGATTATTGTCTACAACTTTACTACAACCCAATACACACACTAGTCCCCAGTCTCTTCTCTTCCTTTTCACAAATTTAACTGCTGTAGACCTCTTGCAGAGGATGTTTGCATGTTATAACGGTTTAACCTGATCACAATACCTACACGTATTATAGTAATAAGCGAAAATTGCAGAAATTGCTATTTATTTCGTTGGAAATGGACCATATAGAAATTGGAAGAGAAGGGACTGGGGACGAGTGTGTTGCCATAACAACCATATAAACAAGCCAAATTGTTGGCTTTGTTGCACCCACTAAGTGTGCCAAGTTTCATTGAACTTTATCAAACGGTCACCAAGATATCAGACTTTCTTGTTATTGCCATTATCTCAAGTCACACTAATGACGTCACAATTCAACATATAGAAAGTGCGATAACTTGGGAATGAGATGAGATATGAAAAACTGGAAACGTCATTCTTCATCATTCCAGCAGTACTTTTTAGAAAAACAATAAAAAAGGAGGTAAAATTTCGTTGCATAGGCACTTTAAATAATTTCAATGTGCTCTTTTCAGTGGTCAAGTCTATTTACACGAAGCTCGACTGTGTCCTATTTAATCCATCTTAGGGACCGGTCATTATTTATGGTGGGGGGTGGCACCGAAGAGAAATGTTTTTCGTGGTAAAAATTTTGCTGACCCAACCATTAGAAAGTCGAAAATTTGATTACCCAACCTCAAGTATCAATTAAAAAATAAATACCCACCGCTGGCCAAAAACTTTACAAAAAGATACCTTTACCGCTTCTGTGATATGAGTTTGATAACGGCTTGTGAAATATTCTGCAGTCTAAAGTTTCATATTGTCTGCACATGTTGTTTCTTTGGAGACACCATTTGTCTCCCATGCAAAACATATCGGAAAATGATCAAGATAATGAATCTGATTGATTCACATATTGTATCTACATATGACTGTTGACATTGCTTTTTACTCTCCAAAATTTTATTGAGTCATGCTTTGGAAATGACAATATTTTTTTATTACCCAACCCTTGAGTTGTTTTGTTTTTCATTTACCCAACCTTTTACTCACTCAAAATTTTGTTTACCCAACCCTTTTCTCTTCGGTGCCGCCCCCCACCATAAATAATGACCGGTCCCTTAATAAATATCAACACATACATATCCATACATAATCTCCATACAGTTATGCCAAAGCAGTCAGTGTAGAAACATTCAAGGCGAGCAATGTGCATATACAGTTATATCAAACTGACTGCTTTAATATAACTATATGGAGATTATGGAATATGTTTGTACTGATATTAAGTAGGACAAAGTCGGGCTCCCTGTGGTCTATTTCTACATTTTGTTACTCGTTCCCGGTCTCCCCATCACAGATGGTTCATCTTGACGGTGTCCGTTCTCCACGTTTATGTACAGACAAATTGTAAGAAGTATATAAGCGTCCAGGTCTGCAGTAAAAATCCGGTCGTTGTGTAGAGAGGTGTGAAGAAAGAGACAAAGCACGGTTTGTAAACGCGATTCTGTAATTCACCGCCCCAAAACTATTTTAAATACACTGTATGTACAACGAATATAACAAACCATGCGTATGTGTTTCCATATTAAACATCTAGGCTAGTGTAGCATAAGTCGACGCGCAAGGCATAACTAATGATTACATATTTGGGATAGCAGTTTGAGCGGATGGTAGCGGCGGTTGAGATGGTGGTAAAATATGACCACCTTTACGTGATAAAACTGTGATTTCATCTTTTAAAGCATCAATTTCCTGTGCTTGTAGTTGTACAAGTTGAATAAGACGATGTCTTTCTCTGAGATCTGCTTTCCTGTTACCACTGTATTCAGCACCCTAGAAATATCATGGGAGTCAGATATGGCGGATCGTTGGCATACGTTTCTTTGCCCTATTATTGAAGGCTAGTTTCCACTCAGGAAAATTATCCGTGGATTGGAACGGACAAGAAAATTTTTCTTTGTCGTGTGAGCTCTGGGTTGGAACTAATAACTTTAACACCAAGAAAAATTTTGTCCGTTCCAATCCATGGATAATTTTCCTGAGTGGAAACTAGCCTTAAGGTGGCTCCCTACAGTTGTCCCTATTTGCCCAACACCTCTGCAGTACAGGCATATTAATGCAGATCGTGCATTCTTTTCTACTTGGAGGCAATATCTAACATCAGTGGAATATTTAGAACTCGGTGTTGACAATGTCGCTGTTACCATGGCAACATGGCGAAGGTTTAAAACCTGCATATTATTATTGTTTTGATTTTGTCAACTTTTCGATTTATTTGAGTGCCATGGACAGCCAAGAATATTGTGAAGGATCAAATCGATGAAAGCACAAAACCTCTAAGGTTGAAGCTAATTGAATCCTGCCGTTTACTCAATCAATGAGCTGTAACAGCTTAACAGGTGGACGTGTTTTTTTGTTTGGGTTTGCACTTTTTTGCTAAAAACAAACAAGGCGTTTTGCTATGAAACTGTGATATTTTTTCGGTTTAATCACTTTAATCTTGTAAACGACTTTTTAAAAGGTTTATTAAAAGTTTGTGTATAATTTAGCAAATGTTTTACAGTTGATAGTAGTATGTTTTAAAAAAATTAAAAAACATTTTTTCGTCGCTAATTTTTTGGTCTAGGGATATTCGTATTATATGTAAAATTGCTGTACGGACTCGCAATTGATTTGGCACTCAAAACGAAGGATAAATTAAAAGCTTTTTTTTCCGTTATAAACCTTTCAGAAATAGCATTTAAAAAAAGGTCAATTTTTGTTTTGTTTTGATCCTCATGCTACTGTAGGGAGGAGTTACATCAAATATTTGAACATTGCTGTATAACGCTGGGCCAACATTCTTGGGTTCGTTTCAACAGGCCTTAAAATATTCTATAATAAAAAGGGGACTTTCACATATTGTTTCATGTTTCCAAGATATTTTGTGCGCACAAAGAGTTGAACATACCAAAGATTTTTGTTTGGCATCCAGTTTCTGCTCCAGTTCTTCTCTTTCTTGATAAAACAACGTGGAAGTATTCAATCTGCCAGTGTTCTCACGCGTTCGCTGAGTAAGCTTCTGTTTGTATACTTGGATCTTTTTCTAAAAGCATATAAAAATGTTGCAGGTGCCAGTTTTTCACATACGATACTGCAGATTTATAAGATCTACTTTTTAAGACAACGTATTTTTAAGACATGCAGTAATGGCGACGGTCAAGAAGGATGATCAGTCTGGACAAACTTGGGAAAAGATCATTCGTTTGCGTATGAACGCGACAAACAGATCATCCGTCAGATAAACTACTAAGGCAAGCACGACGTAGATACTGTAGTTCGTCTTGACGAATGATTCGTCTGTCTGTCCGCGTTTAAGGCCCATCTATACAATACTAGACGTATACGATTCTTATCCTGGCGTATGTACTCGAATAAATCCGTGTAAAGATATCACATTTCAAATTTCGCCATAAACTGATGAACAGGAATAGTGGCACAGAAAAAGAAGGTACAGCAGAAGTGTAACTTGAGTCGGTTCCTTTATTGTTTTACGTCCACGAAAATTTTAACTCGCTCACGCCATCCTGGCTAGTACAACCGGAAGTTTTTATCAGGTTTTGGTAAGTGCCGGTTGTACTAGCCAGGATGGCGTGATTGATGACGAATTGCAGAACAGACGAACTATTCTTCCTTTGCCCAAGTTCGTCCAGAGTGACCAAACGTCTCTAGTATAAATCTGGCCACATCAGTTTAACTGTTTCTTTCCATTTGAGGATGTATAACATCAGAGAACAGGTGTTGAGTAAATCAGGACGGTCTGCTGAAAGTCCAGAAAACAGTTATATGACAATGAAACTATACTGCGTGTCTTTCCTAAAGATTATGATGTTTTCAAGAAAGAATGCGCAAACGTTAAAAGGCAAAAAAACTTTTTAATTATGTTGTTCTTGTGGAAAACACCAGATTTTATAATTTGCATTTTGCATAGCTTTCAATCCATAATAACCACAGACCACAGTAATTTTTTATTGATATTTTACCTCCCACTTGGCAAGTTCATTGGCATTCTGTAATTCTTGCTGACGTAATCGTTCTTTAAGTTCCTCAGCAGTTCTGTTAACAGTGACATTTTCCAATCTTTCCAAATCCACCAATCTACCAAACTTCAACATTTGCATATTCTTTACTTTCTCTTCAAGTTCACTTATCTGAAAGAAAATGTTGTTTTTGTGAACATTATCAAAACGCCGAACGATTGGATTGGCCCGTTGTATGAAAGTCATGCAGACTGCGCTGTCTGCCGAATATCGACTTTCCAAAATTGATTGTTTATCAGTATAAGCTTTTCTCAGATTTAACTGTTCGTCGACTCCGATTCTCTCAACACTATACATACAGAAATCCCTAAAGAATCAGGGGAAGTTACGAGCAGACGAATCACTTGAACAAAATTTGGTTTAGAAGTGAAAATCCCAAAACCACTACTAGGATTAAAAGTTGCACCCAGGTTGCTTATATAATGGGCAGTGAGACGACTATTGGCGCGCTGATCAATGCAAAGCATTGGTAACGAACTCACCATTGTTACCATCGGGAAAAGCGAATACAACTGAGCTGAAAGTTTTGTAGTTACGTTTTGACGAAGATACAGATATCGAAAAAATATCAAATGTCATATGAAAATTTAAATACATTCAGCTCCTATATTTTCAGGCATTTGTGCCAAGATATGATTTTGGTTGGAAGCTGTATTCTAATTGGCTGAAATCGCAAGTTAATTATGCAAATTTATATTGCGTACTTAATTGCCAATAATGACTTTTTGCAAGATTCCGCTGGCCTAGCAGAATTTTTGTGTAGTGATGGATCAGGAGGGCATGTAGAGGAGACAGTCACACGTCGATCAGCACACAATAAGCACCTTGCTATGAGCGCCGTTCACAACCATTATATGAGCGCAAGTTACTGAACATGGTTTTCATAGTCTCCCGGTGTATATGCTTCCACACGTTGTTTGTTCTTGTTTTGAGAAAATAAATAATTTAATTACCTCAGCTTCCCTTCCTTTCTTGTCACGTTTTAATTGCACGTGCATCTGACGATTTTCTCTGAATACCAAGAATAAATAATAAAATTATAAACATAAGGTAGGTGTACACTATCAAAGTCTGTGTTCACAGTAGGAATTTTGCATAGGTAAATTTTGCATAGAATTTGTTAGAAATGTTTTTGAGGGAACTGACTTCGTCTTAAGTCAGTTGCCTCAAACATTTCGTACAAATCCTTCAAAACTTAGAATTTACCTGCCGAGGTATGCAAAATTCCTACTGTGATCACAGAAACTTTTAGAATGTAAACCAGCCTATAGAGATGCAATCAAATTTCTATCCATAAACACTTTAACCAATCTGCTTTTCACCAACATATTTTCTATAAAGCAAATCTGCCTTTCACCAACATATTTTCTATAATTCTATAGCATTTATGTCCATGCATATATTTTCATTACCTAAAAAGTCTTTTCTGTTCAGCCTTCTCCTGCTCGAGTTCTTTTATTCTCTTCTGAAGACGTTGTTGATCAGAACTAACGAACACGAGACATGTGGAGAGATCGAGCGGCATCAGGTTGTTGATGATATATTGTATTTGATGAAGTTTTATTGTCACTACTACATCTAACTCGTTTAATTTCTGCTGCTTTTCACGCTAGTTGAAAGAAAAATATAATTTCATCCTCCCATTCTTGCATTTTTAACCTTAATCTTTTTCAATATCACCTGATATAAGGACCTCGTATACTTCTTTCAGACGTGGTATGATACATTATTTGATATTATAGTAAAAGTATTTGTGAAACTCATTATCAAAAGAAATCATGACCGTGAAGGAGTTTGGAGATCTGACACAAAATCATGCTGATTTACATAAACTTTAGGTTCAATTTTCTCACCAAATATAATTCAGTTATGTTGAAGAATACGAATGTTCTCATCAAGACGTTTCACAAGCCTTCGGCTCGAGTTTGTATATCCGAGACAACACGGCCGCTCATGTTGTAAATAGTACATACAGTTGCTTCTCAAACTCAAACTTTCCATAAATTTCCAAAACTCATAGGTTCAACAACTCGAACAACGAAAATGCCGAAAGATGTATTATAAGAAAAAAAAGCAAAGAGAAGTTGACTATATATACACTTAACTAAAAAAACTCCTCCACTAATATTTAAGCCCTTAGAATTCTGAAATGACCTTTCTCACAGTCCAAACATTTATCAAATGACCACTTTTAATCTCAAGTACGCCGATGATAAGAAAAGCAAGAAAGCGATGGGTTCGTATGTGATAAAGAAAGAAGATCCAGTCAAGTTAAAATGGACACGTCCAAGATCCCCATGAATGATTGGAGACAGAGGATTAAACAGTGAGCTCCATATGTACCTGGAGTGAGAACTTGAGTCAAAAAAAAATGAAGCCAAAGATGGAGCTATTGAACGTAAGTTTCAGTCCCTTTCTATTGTTATTGTCTGCGCGGTTTGCAAGGAGTTATCACGATTATTTTTAAATTTGCACGGTGACACCCAATATAATGAGGACGAACAGTTGGGAGACATAGACATGGTGGACGGATATTGTGAACAAGATCTGAGGGTACTAAATCAAAGACATAGACATGGTGGACGGATATTGTGAACAAGATCTGAGGGTACTAAATCAAAGACATAGACATGGTGGACGGATATTGTGATCTGAGGGTACTAAACCAAAGAGAAGATGCCCACGATTGAGTGTCGTCAGAGAACCAGAGCGACCGAGTCCGTCAAGACTTAAGCTGGTAATGTTATCATTTTCAAAACTCTCCACTCTTAAAATATTTACCTGAAAAGCTTCCAATTCTGATGTTGCAGCAATCAGAGCGGACTCGATAACTTTACATTTCTTATTTAGTGCTTCATGCTCTTTCTTCAATGCCTCCAACGCTTTCTTTTCTTCAGCCAGACTTTCTTCAATGTCCAAACGACTTTCTCGCAGCTGACATACTTGATCAAATAATGTCTAGAAAGATATCATAAACATCTTGATAACATGGCTTGCTGTACGAAATTCGAATGTTATGTTTTCAAGCTGTTAAAACACAGGCAGTGAATCTGTAATGTGTAAATCTGATTATCCAAGCCGTGCCCTACAGTAGGAGTAAGTGATGTTAGTCTCATCAGCACTTTCCAGTATACAAGTCGCTATATCAGTTAGAGCGTTAATAATTCTATATTTTTATGTGTGAATTTGTTTGTTTCACTTGTAGAAACTGTAATTTAGCCGAAAAGCAAACTATAAAAAAGGAACGTGGTAGAAATTATCGTCTACCTGAAGTGAAGGTAGGGGCCAGGGGGTGCTACTTATTTGTCCTGCCAACTGAAAATTCGAGGCCACGCAATCGAGCAGTGCCTAATCACAGAGCACAGCTAAGGTGAAAGAGTTAGTTTAGGGTGAAAACTCTCGAAACACAGAAGAGGAACAAGCGCAACTTTACTTTCACGAGTTTTCAAGCAGAGTACTCTCCAGCTTTCGTATTAACTCGCGGTAATTACATATCCCACTAGTGCTTACCTGATCACATCCTGGAGGACAAATACTATCATCCAGCGTCTCTTCATCAGAATTGCTCTCTTCACTTGATGAAAACTCTTCGTCACTATCATCATCATCACTGTCATCATCAGACCCGTCACGTGACTCATCTTTCTTCTTAGCTCGCTTGATTTTCTTCTTAAATACTCGTGTCAAAAATCCTTCAAATTTATTGTTCTCTCCGATCATGGAGGAGAATGCGGAGAGGAGAGATTTCTCTTGTTCCTGTAGTTTTTCTATTTCTTCTTTCTTAATCTCCAACTTCATTTGACAATCGTCAACCTGTGGTTATTGATTGGAAGATAAAGTCGAGAAACAAAAAACATTTATTTAGACTGAAGTTCGAAACTTCTCTCCCTAGAGGTCCAGTAAGGTCCATATCTAAGTATACTCCGGAATATCCGAAGAAAACCTAGCCTCCTCTGCAGGCAACTCGGCAGACAAAGGCAGAATTACGCAATACTTACAGAGAAATGATGGCGGTAACAGAGGATCATGAGGGAAAGAGTTTTCCCCTTACTGCCACACCCCTAAATTTGCTAGATATTTCGCCGTTGTTTTCCACCGGAATGATATACCTCTGGTCTAATTGATACACTTTGGGTTCGAGCCTCAGTTCGAACATTCAAAACTAAACATTTTAGATAGAGTGATTCGACTCCACAACAAGTTTCATTAAGTTTCATTTATCTAACCCATGACCAGTCGACAGACAAAATTTACGGCAACAATAAAATGATAACATGAAGTATCACCTTGTCCTCCATTTCTTCTTGTTCATCTTCCTTGGTTAAGACTCGAGTTGCAAAGGTATATTCTCTCTTCTCAAATTCTTTAAGCAACATTAATTCTTCAAATAAAGTTACATGTCTAAAATAATAATAGAATATTCCGTTTAATTTATAAAAAGCCTCAGCCATAACTGTGAATCAATACAAAAAGCTGCCTCAAGTGGTTAAGGAACCTGGTGGCAGAGTGGTGGGGCCCCTAAGATCCATTCAGAGTGCCATTTTCTCAAGACAACACAGGAAAAAGTGCCCTTTTCTATTCTAATGGGAAAGGTACCCTGAAAACGTATAGTGCCCCTGACCATTTGTATTTATGGTACTTTTTTAGGGCAATCTCACTGGCTCTAATGGACATCTCACTGGCTCTAATAGCCTAAATAAACATATCGCTTTTCTTTGTCTGTACCTAAGATCAGCAGATTGTAACAGAATTGTTTTGCTTCATTTTTTTATTTTATCCACATTATCAGCTTTAAATAAAAGATGATTCACCTGACTTAACTAAACCAATAGGGGCAGTAACTAAACTCTACATAAGTAAAATAAAACACATTGACCAAACCTGAGTTCAGCGTTCTTTAATGTGACTTCATACTGAGATTTTTCATGACGTAAAGTTTTCACTTCACCGTCAAAATTTGTAAGAAGAAACTGAACTCTCTTCAGAAGACGATCTTGTTCGTATTTCATCCTGCATGAGATATAATATGAAATAATAAAACGTAAAATAGTTTATGTTATGACAAAATATAAAATTATATGTGTTGCAAATGTAAAATTTTATGTGTTGTTGAGATATTAGGAAGGGATTCCAACTACGGGTCGGTAACGCTGATCTATATATAATATGTACTCGCTTCCAACCAATCAGAGGGAACCTGATAGGAAACATGCCAACCAAAGCATAGTTAATTATGATCAAAGCGATAGACTTCTGAAAGTCTAATAGAAATAGCCCAAATTCCGCGCCCTGTTTATTTAATAGCCACATTTACTCACAGTGTTGTCGCGAAACGCAAACTGTGATTTTATTTCTCAAATAAGCTTAGTAGAGGCTGGCTTGGAACAAGACTAGACTGACATACGTTCCAAAGAAATCCTCCTCCGTATAGATTGGGCTGACAAAAAAATTGAAGAGCGCTGAATTTCTCAAACTTACAAAAACTCTTCAAAAGCTACGCCCAGAAAACATAAAATGAAATGTTTAAATAACAGAGTTTAATATGATTTACGCGACCTGATGCTGATGCTTTCAATACCTAAAATTAATGCTATGACGAGACGTTTTAGCTATATAGAGCAGGTAAATTCTGGAATGAATAAGATAAAAATGCTAGAATTGAAACAATGAATTAAACCATCCCAACTATAGCATTATTCTTTGTTTTGTTTACTACATGATGCAAGTGTGTCAATGTTTATATGGGTAGGCCCTATATGTATTAGCGTATATAGGATTATTGCCTAGGTATTTCGTCTATATATGCACGACACTATAAAAAATACCCATTTTCTTTTTAATATTTTTTAAATATAGTACTTATTTTTCTAAAGGTTGATAGACTACCGTGTTAAAATATCTTTAAATACCAAAAAGAAATCGTTTCAGAAACGTTTTGGACCAACAGTTGGTCAGTAAGCGTTTTGGACAAACAGGTGGTCGTCACTCCGATATTAGGGAGGTTAGGGTTTGACCATTAACCAATTAGATGCGTTCGATAGGTCAAATTAACCAATCAGATGCTCTTGATAGATCCAATTAACCAAACAGTGATGGTGGAAGTCAAATCTGACCCTCTCTATTATCTACAATCTGCTGCACGATAATAGTGCATCGTGAAATCAGCCTATATTCGCGTCAGTCTACTCCATGTATTAATTAACAAATAGATAAGATTTTGCCGTTGCCTGCTCAGTTATAGATACACAATATGACGTCATACTGTGGGAAGAACAAAAAAGTGGCTCACGAGCCGCCGAGGCGAGTGGGTCACTTTTTTGTTCTTTCAACATTATGACGTCATATTGTGTATCTATAACTGAACAGACAACGGCAAAATCTCATCTATTTGTTCTATATAATAAAAAGAAAAATCTAAACAGGTAAATACTAGCTTACTTTTTATCGACCCAAACATTTGGAAATTTGAAAAATTGGAAATTCACAATGCATCTGTCTTCTAATAGACCATATGGCTCTCGACCAATGAAAGCACTTGAATTCTTAACGTTATTATTAATATAATATTGTATGTATAGAAATACTTGCTGAAGGTCATTTACCGTATGCATTCCATACGATGTCGACGAATGGATGGACAACCTATTCACGGTATTAATTAAACTGTTTAGGGATGAAAGAAAGCAACTTACCTAATTTGCTCCTGTTGTTGTAACTGTAATTGAAGAGAAGAAAGTGATTCCTCGACAGTTTCAGATATTGTATCTGAAAGATGCGGATCTGTCTTAGTACTTTGACTTGACCTGGGTCGACCACCAGATAGTACAGATACATTGGAAAATGTACGATCACGGCCGCCTGCTGTGGATTGTGGTGGCTTTGACTGCAAGAAAAAGTAAATCAGGTAACATGCATTAAGCCTCGCTCAAACGAGAGTTGCAAGTGAGAGTTGGCAGGCACGCACGGGACATTTGAAGCTCTAGATTAACAAAATAAAGGTTTGATGAGTATTCCAACTATGTTTTAACTTCAATAGAATACATATAATGTTGGGAAAGTATTAAGAACAGCTAACCAAGATCTCGTGACTGCCAACTCTCATGCACCCTCATTCTCGTTTCATCCGGGCTTTAATGTTTTATGTGTCATTTCATTTTTCAACGTCACGAAAAACATCACAAGAAAATCAGCACCGTGAAATCTTGATCCCAACAATATATTATCGACCACTGTTATTGATGATTGTATGATGTATGCGTTTAATTTCTCTTTAAATACTTCTTGTAATGTTCGTTTGAGAAGTTATATCTTACATTTGAAGTCGTTTAGGCCTATTATAGCAACTTTAACACACTACAACGCATAGTAACTCGGCTAACTCATTAATAATTCACAAAGAAAAACAGAAAGAAAAACAGCAACCAAATCACATTTAATAAACTGCTTCTTGTGGACTCAGATGTGATACACTCTTCTTAACTAAAGTGTCATACTTGGCAACAGTTGTTATGAATCATAAAACAAACCTCAGAGACACCAAAACCGCCGAAACCACCACCACCACCATCATCAGGACGTTTGTCAGTCTTGTTATCTTGTTTTTTCTTGAAAGCGTACAGCGTTTCTTTTGTGTACTCCATTTTCCTTTGAACATAATGTATATTGTTATAATACATACTGTAAGCTTCATATCTATAAACTAAATATTAAAATAAGCGAAGAAAATTTGACAATTCAGAGACACTAGCCTGTAAACAGACTCTCAGAGACACAAAAGAAGAGTGAATTTCGGTTGTATAGTATAGTATAGAAGCAAATGTAAATTTCAACCCCTGGGACCACGTTCGTGGTTGCGTTCCTTGTTCCGAACAATCCAAATTGTTATTTATTGAACGTCCTCTGACTTAATATAGTAAAGTCAGAGAACGTTCAATAAATAATGTTTCAACCTGGCTGCGCATCCTCTATTTTTTCAATTCCAAATTGTGTTCCAATTGCGTTCATAACAGAATTAGACTGCGAAATGCAGTATTTTCTGAATAATACTATATATGAATACACGTTATAGAGTAAGTGATACCTTTCTGGAACTTCTTCTGGCTTCAGTTCAGGAACAATGGGCAGTGGTTTGTGAAGCGACACATCCAATTTAGACTGAATATATTTTAGATGATTGACGCACTCTTTGACCTTTGAAAAGAAAGTTGCAGGGCATTAAATTACTTGCACCTAACATACTTTAAACCACGCCCTCAAAAAGAAGAATGGTTTATCTCTTTGTCACTACGGCCTGGTCATAGCAGCCACGTATGTCATTTTCCTGTGGGAGAGAAACAGGAACTGACATGGCGTACTTTCCAAAATCGAAAAATCCAAAGTTCTACATGTCATCTTTAGTTGCATTTTTACAACGGCTCCTGGTTAGGTGCAATAAATGTATAAAATGTACACTCGAAATTGCCATCTACAAACCCCTTCAACAAACATTCTACATGGCTTGCCAACAATAAAACAAACACACAGAATATTGCTTTTCTCATCTAAAATTTACAGGATAATGTAGGTGGCCAATATCCATAAATTTTGGGAAACTTTTGCAAACCCTAAGGTACCTTGGTTCCAGAGGTTTTTTTCTCTTGTTAGAGACTTCTCAATGCAATGAAGACAGATCATTAAAATAATTAGGTACAAAGCAATATTAAACAAACAGCAGTGAACCATATACTGTACTGAGGGCAAAGGCTGCAAATTGTTTCTGGGTAATCCGGATTCCTTGTGAATACGTGTTTGTACATAATTTCAGTTTTAGTATGAATTTTTTTGCAGCGTTCCAACTTCCAATTTAATCACCTCTAATATAAATAATGTTATTGTTTTCTTTTGCAGTATTTTTTACATCGAAAATAAAGCTCACCTCCTCAATGATTCTTAACTTTCTATCTCTGAGAGCAAGAAGTCTTTTGTTGAAATTTCTCTTGTAGTAATGAATCTAAAAATAACCAGGTAATTTTTTTGTGAATAACTCGAGATGATGCTTTAATTACACCCTTCCAGAAAGTAATTACGCCTGTATTCTAAAAGCTCACTCACACTCAAAGAGTGGAGGTTCAATCTGAGCTTCCCTTGAGTGTCTGTGCTATTTTTGACTAGCTGGAGGGTTAGTGTCGTACCTTACCATGTGACAGCTCACCCTCCATTCAAAAACAGCACTGACAGTCAAAGGAAGCTCAGATTGAACATCCACTCTTTGAGTGTAAGTATGAGTGAGCTTTTAGAATACAGGCGTTAGCCTTGGCTATGGCGCCTCGTTTTCGTGATTTGAGATATTGGGTTTAGAGTCCTTTATTTTATTACAGATGGATACATTTACGACTTCATGAAGTTATATTAATAGACAATAATACAAAAGACCTTTATATTTTAGGTCAGCAGTAACAAGATAAAGGGCTCTATCCCGAAAACGAGGCTCTCTAGCATCAACTGTACTAACTGAACTGCGTTCATATACGAGAGTGGACGAATTGGGAAACGTAGCACGCAAATTCCATTTTCTTACACTGCAACTGTCTGGATTTAATCGGTACTAGTCTATGTGTCCCGTTTGAACTCAAAAGGTGAAATCGTGTTAGGGCCGACCTGTCTATATGAGAGAAGGGACAGAACGTTTGCTGGGACGATAACAGGGCAGAATGAATTGATCAGTCCCGTGTGAACGAATCTTGAGCCTCAGCCCAACGTCCTCGAACTTCTGTATAAAAAATGTAACTTATATAATTTATAATTATATGTTTAATACATAATTCTATATAATTTTTACCTGATCCAATAACTGTAGCAACTGCATAAGTTTGATTTCAGCATTAACACGTTGATCTTCAGGCACAACATAATCACCTGCAGTTTTTAACTTATAATCTCCAATATTGTCTTTAGCTTCTTTAATAGCATTCACATCTTTAGGATCTTGATAATTATCATCAGGTTTACTGCTGTTTAATGCATCCCACTAGTAAGCGAAAATCATGATTAGTTCACCCGCTCCAACATCATCACCAACTAAATTAGATAGCACAGTACTATACTATACTATACTGTACTATACTATACTGTACTGTACTGTACTGTACTGTACTGTACTGTACTGTACTGTACTGTACTGTACTGTACTGTACTATACTATACTGTACTATACTATACTGTACTGTACTGTACTGTACTGTACTGTACTGTACTGTACTGTGCTGTGCTGTGCTGTAGTTGCAAAAGTTTTAAATTACTGTATTATTCAAACCTATAGAAATCCACTAATTTGGTACAAGTTTATTAGCATAGTTTATTACCATAGTTTATTACCATGGCTAGCTTCGCCACTGCAGGACAGGATAGTACAGTACAGTACAGGGCTGGAAAAATGTCCGGCAGCGCCAGCAGCACCGCTGCCAGGAAATGTTTCCCAAAATATCTTTGCAGGAAATTTTCTTACATCTTGCAGGAAATTTTTGTCATCTTATACACTGGAATGCCATATAATTTACTTATTGTTTAAAAATTTCAAAAGCATTTTGCAACGTGATATTGTTTTCAAGTTGATAGTTCATCACAATGTGGGGCACAATACGTTCTCTGAAATCTACATAATTATGCAGGAAGTTTTATATTTGACTTACACAGGAAATTTTTATTTTTGGATTTTGCTGCCAGGAAGAGAAATATATTTTCTAGGCCTGTAGACAAGTCTGGACAAACATTTCATCACAGCTTGAAAGAGCATCACAAAATTAGTAATATTCCGAAGTGTCGTTGCAAAATGTTGTAAAATGAGGATAATATAGCCCTGCGAAGTTTGCCGTTTTTCAGTCATTTTGTATTACGCACAGGAAATTGGTAATCAGTTTGATCATCTGATTATCAATTTCCATTTGTAATGCAAAATGACTGAAAAACGGCAAACTTCGCAAGGCTATATCACACAGTAGAGACATACAGAGACGTAACTAGTGTACCCATTTTTTTGTGCGCATGCTCGGCAAGTACTAGATGCATGCATCTGATTGGATGACGACCTGATGACGACTCACTTTAAACTTGCCGAGCACGCGCAGTTGATCATTTTTTCGATCGGTCGCCTGAAAAAACGTGGGTACATGATAACGTAATCTTCCGCAGTGTTTACAACGGTCAGTTACGTCTCTGTATGTCTTATCTACTCTGTGGCTATATTATCCGCATTTTACAACATTTCAAATGACGCGAGCCAACAGATCACGACACTTTTGTATATAAAAAGAGCGTGTGAATTAAACAAGTCACATATTATTAGCACTGATGAAGATCCGGGCTTACGGATTGAAAGCTTTGCAGTAATAAATTTACGTGGTGTTTCCACAAACAAAACCTATTATATTTTATCACCATGCAAACATACAAAGAACTTATTACAACATTTCGCAACGAAACTTCGGAATATTACTAATTTTGTGATGCTCTTTCAAGCTGTGATGAAATATTTGTCCAGACTTGTCTAGATCAAAATTTCACTCAAAAGGGGAAAGGTCTATTACTGCGCGTATTCATGCAACAATTCCACCAGATACGGATTTTGTAATGACGTCATAATGTCAGTTGACCGAGTGTGACGTCATTTGTAATTTCTAAGGCAACATCACAGAGTAGAGACATACAGAGACGTAACTAGTGTACCCACTTTTTTTGTGCGCATGCTCGGCAAGTTACTAGATGCATGCATCTGATTGGATGACGACCTGATGACGACTCACTTTAAACTTGCTGAGCACGCGCAGTTGATCATTTTTCGCCCGGTCGCCTGAAAAAAAGTGGGTACATGATAACGTAATCTTCAGCAGTGTTTACAACGGTCAGTTACGTCTCTGTATGTCTTATCTACTCTGTGGCAACATGTTACTTTAACCACAGTTCATTAAAACTGTTCATAAACTGGCATGCTTCACACATTAATTTAACACATTATGTTAAACTGCAATGTGTATCAATGTACAATGTATGTAATTTTTAAAGTGTGTCAAATTATCAACGATCAGTTTTACACAATCAGAAATACCAATAATTTCTAACGATTCTGATTGTCTACCAATAAGACAAAAATCGGCTCTGATACAAATAACCCTTCACACACATGATCTTAGAATGATCACTTGAACAATTCTAAGGAGTGTACTATGTGTACGTAATTATTGCTCATCAAAAATGCTAGCTTTGCTCGTGTGTATTAAATAAATAAAATATACCGTATCTAATATTTTTCTAAATGTTAGACTTACTGTGAGGACATTTTCATAATAACGGGCTTTTACTCTAACGGGATAAGGACGATTCCTGAAATTTCTTAAACATCCACCTTGTTGGTTGCCCCCATCACTAAAGAAAAATTATACAAATATGGTCTAGCATCATACTAACAAGATTGAAATCAATTACTACATAATAAGTTAAAAGTCACAATATATCACTGATGCAAAATAGTCAAAATTTGCTACTAATTTCCTGACGAAGGGTCTTCACTCGAAACATCAAAGTTTGTAACTAGGCATATCTCAATATTTGTAACTAGGCGTAAAAAAAATACCTGTGGTTCCGGTTTCATATTGTGAAAAAATTAGGGTCGGTAGGTCGGAAATAAATTTTTTTTTTAATATTTTTTTCATGGTTTTGGCGGTTTTTTGCTGGGCGATTTGCAGTAGAGTCCCAACATCAATATGGACGAATTTAGGCAATTTGGTTAAATAATTAGTGTGACAACAGATGCCATTTTGGCACGCTGTATGAGCAGCCCGCAACCACCTGGAGAAAATAGGGTTGCATGGTCAATCGTGTTGAAAAAATAATAGGGTCGGCAGAAAAAATAGAGTCGGTCAGGAACCGAAACCACAGGTATTTTTTTTACGCCCTACGACCACTCACAGCAACCACGGGAAAAATTAGTAACCTTGGCAACAACTGCTGATTAGCCACACACTTCAAATTATGTCCACTCTATTTTGTGCTATTCTGAAAATGTATATGACTGACAGATGAATACATACGTATGATGATCATATGACATAGTACCATCATTGGTCATGATTGATATGAATGGATTATTATTTTGACCATCATTATCAAATGAATCTAACAAGATTCCCAAGCCTTTCCAAGGACTGCTGCTGCCAAATACTGAACCTTCTTCCCCTTGAGTTTCTGTGAACCAAATTGCCTGAAAAACAGGGCAGATCGGGTTTAGCAGATTCAGGGACAAGAAAACTTTATCAAGCAACAAATTTCTTCCATAATGTGGAAGATGTTATCAGTTATGGCCCATTTCAAACACAACATATACTCAATCCAGTTGCATCTATAGTTCAACATTGGATGGTCCTGCAATTTCCCTATGTCACAGAATAGAGACAAACAGAAAGCCAACTCAGCCAAACAAGCATAACCGCTGGCACACCATGATTCGCAATGATTCATTGTCAAAATGATGTCATCAATGTTCCTAGCCAGTGTGGTTACGAGAGCCATTCACCTCCCCCCCTGAACAACTGCCATTCTGAATATTTCCAGGGGGAAAATGCCTCTCATAAGTGCACTGGCTAGAAACATGGTGATAGCACTGCAACAGCCAATAGTTACACCAAAATCATAGGCAAAACCAAGAAGTCGACCTTCTGTAAGGTTCCTATTCTGTGTCCATGTACTCTAAAATGTACCTATTTTTTCCAACTTATAAACATGAAAACTCTTGCATATTTATGCAAAAAGCCAAATCATATTTGCCAGGAAAGTTCGGGTTTCAATGGAAATGTTACAAAGAATAGATAACTACATGTGTGCAGTGAAAATTTCCATATTTCACTGGCAATTCCAGAAAGTAACTTATAAATTTAACTTATACATATCTATTATGCATTACAGTAACATCTCAAACTCACCATCCCATCAGCACCAACACGTCCTTGGCCAGTAACCTTCAAAGTGACTTCAATTTCAAATGAATCTGATGAATATTGATTCTTAGACCACATGTATCCTACAGAATGAAAATACGAAATGGGAAGTCAAAAAATAGTTCAGATAGATTAAAATATTGCATCCAAAATCCACACTGTGGTTTATTGATCTTGCACTTAAATATTTGTCAGATCTGTATGTTGTTGTATACATTAATTTTATATCTGCTTGTGTCTTGTGGGGGGGGGGGTTAATAGGTTTTCGGATCGTCCAATTTCACAGAAATAATTGTTCGGATTTCGGATCTGGCGAATATTTTACACACAGATTTGAGGATCTTATTAATACAGCGGATTGTAGATTAATCTAATATTTTGGCTCGGAGCTTTTAGCAGATTCAAATTTAGACAAGATCATTGTCGGATCACGGATTTTGCTTCAAAGTTAGGCGGATCGGCGGATTTGTATACCCCTGTTTTCAATTGAAATTTCACTCAATACATGGCAAAGACAGCCCACTGCAATACTAGATGATTTGCCATTGGACTCCCCATATTTGTATAGAAATAGACCTATCATCACTAATTTTTGAAATCTTAACATCAACCCCCTTAACAGCCCCTTGAGACTGTTGCACACTACTGATATATGCACTGCATAATTTATACAAAATTCTTGTACCTATTGTTAATAATTATAACAGAAAAAATACATTAAATATGAAAATACTTTCACTACACTTTTATGAAACTTAGCAACAGCCTGGCTGAATAATTTATATAAAATGTGGCGATAAATTAATATTCAATTACTAAAGTACCAGGTTTTAATAGCAATACAAACAATCTTTCAAAACTTTCAGCAACCTTTTTTGATAAAAGCTTCTAAAGTATTAAAGCTTAGTCCTGAGAACTTGAACATACATATGTAATCCGATATTGTATTTAACTGAAAACATTAATCCGACCGTTTTGCCCAAATTAGCAGCAAATATAGTACATAACAAAGTGACATTACAAATATACAATCAGATAAAACATATCGAGTTTATGTGTAAACCTCTTTTGTCTCGCAAAGAAGGCGTTATTCTGACTTGATCATCACTGGGAATGGCACCTATAATGTAAAAAAATGGCTTTCTATTAAAAGGAAACACAACGTGTACAAAAGACAAGGCTACGTAAACATATGCTAAAACAATAACAATTTGAACTGTGGTACTGTACTCACTGCCTCCAACCGTCCAAAATGGCACTTGCCCCTTCTTATTTACAAGATGCGGGCCCTTGAAACTGAATTTATATTCAAAACGGTTCACACGTTGACTGTCGTCGGCTAAATACTCAAAGAAACTACAAACGAGTAGAAGAACTCTTAGCAGCCAGCTTACCGCCATCTTGAAATTGAATGAACAATCGACCGAGACAAAAGCATCGTGGGAAATAGGAGATTTGTCAAGATCTGATTGGCTGAGAACGCTGCTGAGAACCTTCCGTGGTTTTCCCAGAGCCTAGCACTGACTTGTAGCGTCTCCAAAAACCTGGAGTACTGCTCGGATTCCTGTAGGATTTTCCGCCCTTTGTCACTGATATTTAGATTTTCCTTTAAAGTGCAGCCATCTCTTCTTCATCTCTTCTAGTAACGAGTCCATACCATCTCAGCCTGATGTCTACCACCCCACATCTTCTTATCTCTTCATTCCATATTTTTGGCCACATTCTGTCTTACTATTAGCCCGCGTGCAGCCCCAAGGGAAGACCTGCACGCGGGCTATCTTACTATGTGTCCATAAGATCTCAGCCTTGTCCCCCCCCCCTCACCCCACGGCCTCATTTTCTCACCCACGTCTTCATTGCTTATCTTGTCCTTCGGAGAAGACCCACCTTGCATCTCCGTTCTTCCTCCTCCGCATATCATTTATCAGTTCTCAAAGATATTGACTCTGGCGACATTTACACTGCGATGGATAACTTTCCGTAGCGACGTGCCGAAAAACGCCTACCGTGCCTTTTTAGTAACGCTATTTTCAGACAAATTATTGCAATGGAGAGATGTTGTTTCGCTCAACTTCTGAAAGTTGTACATTCCCTATCGGATAGGTGTTTTTTTCGCACCGCTACGGATAGCTATATATCCGGTATAATGTAAACGTAGCCCATATATATTGGCTCTTAATTATTTGAAAGCCAATAATCGTGAATTTAAACAGATTTTGATTAAGTGCATTATATTAGATTTGGCCCTGGCACTACAGAATATAATATAATGGAATATAATCGTGTTTTAAATATATCGCATCACAGCTTGAAAGAGCATCACAAAATTAGTAATATTCCGAAGTTTCGTTGCGAAATGTTGTAAAATGCGGATAATATAGCCTTGCGAAGTTTACCGTTTTTCAGTCATTTTGTATTACATTTGAAATTGATGATCAGTTTGATCATCACTGATTATCAGTTTCCCGTTTGTAATACCAAAGTGACTGAAAAACGGCAAATTTCGCAAGGCTATAGTATCCGCATTTTACAACATTTCGCAACGAAACTTTGGAATATTACTAATTTTGCTATGCTCTTTCAAGCTGTGATGAAATTTTTGTCCAGACTTGTCTAGATCAAAATTTCACTTAAAAGGGGAAAGGTCTATTGGTTACGAAATTAACCTATTGTCGAATACAGTTAATATTATATATGGTTACATATAAGTTTCACCCTAGTGACTGAGCATAAATATTCATAGTGTATGTAATTACACAGTTTCCTCTTAATCAGAGACAAGTCTAGCTTGCGTCCACGCATTACGGATGATCTTCTCAACCTTGGGTGCTTCGGGATGTTTTAGGATATGAGGAGCAAATGCTCCGTCTGGAGGCGCATCATCAGCAGGACGATGTGACGCACCGCTATCCTTATCTTCTGAGTAAATCTCGAGAATCTTGGCCCTCCAACAACAGCAGAATCTAGTCTCCTTCAGTTCCAAATCTTTCAGGAAACGATAGTCGATGTACTCTTGGTTCACTGCGGGGGAAAAAACACAATGACCTAAGTTTATAACAGTCCGCGCATTTTAAAATTATGTTCATGTAATGTGCGCGCAATTTAGTGTAGTGAAGAATAAGTTTTGCGTGACGCGCTGAAAGAGGGCATCCAATTTGGTATATTGGCACATCAATCAAATTGATCAAATGTATAATAATATTGAAATTGAAGCTACTCCGTTTCAGACATATTAATATATTTAGGAAATCATTGAGAATAGCCATGTGGTTTCTAGTAGGCTCCTAGCCCATTTCTTATATATATATATATATATATATATATATATATATATATATATATATATATATATATATATATATATATATATATATATATATATATATATATATATATATATATATATATATATATATATATATATATATATATATATATATTCCTTGTCAGTAAATGTAATATTTTGGGCGAAAAATATTTTTAAAACTAGGAGTTACTATCGCAAGGAAAATGCTGCCGATATGTACATGTAGGATGTGCTACAAAAAGAGCGTTTTTCACTGTATGTATGATTTATTGTCTTACACATCGTCGTTCCTCAGTTACCTTCGTACAATTATATCTTACATCTAATCTTATGAAAAGTATATTTTAATATACTTAACAGTGCGACTTTGATAGTTGACACATAATATAAATGATAAAATGTGAATATTATTGAATGATTTTGTCACTCGTACAACTTTTAATTTGGCTATTCAAACAATTGATTTAAAATAGTTGAATTTATACTTACTGGGATGTTATTGCTTATTGGGATGTTGAAATTATGTTTGTTTTAAATACATTTAATTGATATTCCATAAATTTATTTTGTATGATTTCATTGTCCTTGACGTTGTTCAAAATCATTTTGTATTGTATTGAAACTGTATGTCTATGACCTATGTTATGTACTATATTAACCCATTGAGTCGCATTGCACCCTGATGCACCCTACTTTGAACAGTATTTTACTCTGTCTAACGCCAGACGATTTTACTCGTCAAGGGGAGAGTGCTGGCGCTTAATGGGTTAACTGATCTATCTGCCCATGTGTCTAGCTAACCCATTGGGTCGCATTGCACCCCGATGCACCCTACTCTGAACAGTATTTTACTCTGTCTAACGCCAGACGATTTTACTCGTCAAGAGGAGAGTGCTGGCGCTTAATGGGTTAACTGATCTATCTGCCCATGTGTCTAGTTAACCCATTGGGTCGCATTGCACCCTGATGCACCCTACTTTAGTATTTTACTCTGTCTAATGCCAGAGTATTTTACTCTGTCTAACGCCAGACGATTTTACTCATCAAGGGGAGAGCGCTGGCACTTAATGGATTAACACGCCCGAAATCTGTACTAAAACTGCTAATTCTGTTTTGTGATTGGCACAGTTTAATCAAAGAATCCTCCCGTTGAACCAGAGCCTTCACGATATTTCAATTTATTATTAACTGAAGGCTCTGGAATCCAGGATAGCTTGCCATTGAATACAGTGCAATGCTTATATTTCTGAATGAATAAGATCATACTCAGAACAGTCAGAACTGCAAAACTATATTGTTAGAAAGAAGTTGAAGTTGTGAGCATTATTGTGGTAACACAGCCATATGTATATCAACGTATGTCAGTAGAATCATGTTTATAGGCTTTATATATACCTAAGGCAGTCTTATACAAGTCATATCTTATACAAAAGTCAGTTGATATGCTACATTACATGTAATTGCTGATAAGTCCATATATGCAGACAACAATCCACACTGGGTAGCTCTAGGAATCTTGTTAAGCCTGTTTTAACAACATCCCGCGTTTGTTTTTAAACTATAAACATCTAGAAATAGAACGTACTGAATACTACAGTATTATACACTCACCGCCTTTGGCTTTGCACATATTAAGTAACATAACAAACAAATAAACTAAAAGTTCATTTGCTTCTTGTATCAGCATATTAAAGGCATTAATCATTACTGTCGATTTGGTCGGGAATAGATCAGTGATTCAGTGGGTATTATAATTGCCGATATATTCTTGAAATCATATTGTTTCAATGCCTCTATATCGAAGTTTAATACACTAAAGTGACTAAACAAGTATAAACAGCAGATTTAAATATAAATGCTTTCATGTATTATAAAATATATCACCAGACAGGTAGACAGGGCACACAGCACGACTACATCACTATACGAGAACGAAATAAAGCCATCCTTACCTGAATTATTCAAAATATTGTCGATCATTCTTGCGCCAGAGACACAAAATAACACCGTGCTTTATTTACCCATTCATCTTCACAAATATTACTCGGAATTTTTATGGAAATTCGCATTATTTTATGATTTTTATATTTCTGTCCGTTTATAACAGTCGCCATGTTGTGAACAAACCCCCCCGGGAACAAAAAAATAATATCAGAACAGCTAGTTTTGGCCCGTCCGTGGATGACAGAATGACATAAATCGAGATTGTAGCGGCTATAAACTCGGCGGTCACGTGGTAAGCACACCACGTGTAGAGATTAGTGTGCTGCCGAGCTACGCTCGGCAGCAATAAACACCTCAAAACCATTAACTTTTAGTTCAGAAAATTACAAAGTTTCCCATAGACGTTATTAAAAATGTTCTAGTGAAACGATTTCATGATAAATAAGCGAGCAATGGGCTATTACATTAAAAAACCAAACCCCCCCTGTCGAGGACCTCTGCTTTTGGGGAATTTTACCCCTCTGGAATGCAAAAAAATCTGTGTAATTGACCCCTCTGGAAGAGACTTGAACCCCCTCTGGAAGGGCATTTTTGCTTTTTAACCCCTCTGGAAAGAGCATTTTTCTTCCATTTTTCCCAACTACCCCTCTGGAAAAAATGACTAATTTCCCCTTTGGAAAATGAGGTCCTCGACAGGGGGGGTACGGATATTAAATGTAATAGCCCAATGGGCCCGAAAGGACGGCTAAATTATGTTTTTGGTGGGACTTCAGTTTCATGGCTTCCCGCAAAGGAAGCCATTTCAGAGAGAAGCGACAACAACGGCAAACAACCGTCGCGACCAAATTTTGATAACTTTTCCTTCTGATTCAACATGTAGTTACTAGAAAATGAGGTTGGATCAACATTACTATCTGCCTTATCGATTTAAAGTTTTATGGGGATATAAAACCCAATACAAAAAGCATTTTAAAAGCATTAGAACTCAAGTGCGGACTTCTTGAGAATTCGCACGCGGCAAGCAAGCGCATTAATTCAATACACTTATTTCAAACCACAATATGTCTGAAACGAGTTGTCATTTTAAGACTAAATTGATGAAAATAGATATAACAGTGATTTTGGAGTACCCTACTTACTTAGTGTAATTTATTACTCGAAGTAT